GGTGGATAAGTGGTTGTGAAAGCGGCCACAGACCAGACCCACAGAGCTGGTCCAAGGTTAAGTGCCTTAAATTTGCCAATCCTGTGCTCAGCTCCCCTTTGAAAGGAGAAAGTCTTTGTCCTCTACTTAGGCAGCTGGGCTAGAAGTGCCTTTTGACTTCTAATGTTGACTACCCTCCAGAGCCTCCTAGATCAAGGAAGCTCTGCCAAACTCCACCCCTGTTCTTCCTAGTCAGAGAACCAGTCAGTCATTCTAGTCTTCCAGCTCTTGAACTGATCTTACGACTAAACTGATCTTAGACCCCATTCATGTTAAGTAAAGGAAGAGGTAGGGAGGCTGAGGTGGGCAGATCATGAGGTCAGGTGATCACGACCATCCTGCATCCTGGCTGACATGGTGAAACCCTGTCTCTACTAAAAATACAAAAAATTAGCTGGGCATGGTGGCGCGCACCTATAGTCCCAGCTACTCAGGAGGCTGAGGCAGGAGAGTCTCTTAAATCCAGGAGCCAGAGGTTACAGTGAGCTGAAGTCATTGCCACTGCACTTTAGCCTGGTCAACAGAGAGAGACTCCATCTCAAAAAAGAAAAAAAAAAAAAAAAGGAAGAGGTAAAAGGAAGGAAACATTTAATAAGTACCTGTTGTATCCTTTTATGTGTTTGTTGTGATAATCTTCACAGAGACCCTCTCAGGTAGGGGACTGATGGAAACTCCTTGCTATTAAACTTTTTTCTTGAGGAACTTTGCTTATCAAGTGCATATACACTTAATATTTTCCACCCAAGAGAGCATTCTAAGCTAATTTGTGCAGTGTGACTATATTAAGCACTAAGCTTCCTTAGAGCTGGCCTATTGGAGATGCTACTGCCCTTTCTCCAGGTGTGTCTGAAATGCCTGCCAAAGGATGGCCCTTAGTCAGTTAACAGTCTTATAGCCTATCCTCATTGCTTACTGCCAACCCGTCAGCTGGGGGTCCAAGGCAGTACTATATAGTTTATTCACCAGACTTGCCTCCAGACATCTACTTCTTTCAAAAATTAGTGTTTCCCATCAAGGTGCAGTTCTGGAGCATTTCCCACAGATGTCCCAGAGAACACTGTCCAGGGCTGTGTTGTACAGTGGTAACAGCGTTAGACTAAGTGGAACTTCCCAGGAGGCTGCTTTAGAATCCACTCATTTGACTAGATATGATGTAATTGGCTGTCTTTAAGAAAAAAAAAATCTGATAGGCATATCATGCCCATTCAATATGGAATGTTCTCCAAATATTTATAAGCCTTTATTTTAAGGTTTTGTGGTTCCTGGGCCACAATGGGTGATGTTACTGATAGAAGGAAGCTGGGTTTGCAAGGGCTTTGGGCTGTGCAAGAGTAAACACTAAAGCTTGAGTTGAATCCAGCTGGCAAGCATGGAAGTCTTTGGAGAATTTAATATAAGAAGGGAAAAGAATGTAAAGCTTTTTGTACCAAATGAGAGTAGGAGCCTCTGGAGCCCAGCCAGCTAGTAGGCCCAATGTGGGCAATAACAAATGCTTTTCCCTGTGTAAAAGTCTCTCTGGAAGGGACATTCCATCTCCATGGTGCACTCTGAGGGGCACTGTCAACTGGAGATTGGCCCCAGGCAGGTGGGAGGAAGCCCTTTGGGATGGTGAGTATCCAACCTGCTGTGCATTTGACAGAATCTCTAAATGGCTAGGTAATGGATCCCCAGCAGGATCACAAATTTAAATGAGGCCTCTGTGTACAAAAAGAGGAATAAGTACAGATGACTTTCCTACCACTAGATTTTTGGGGAGAGTCACCATGGAATGTTGGCAATTACTTAAAATATTTTAAGCTCCCTTGCTGAATTCCTGTCCTGTCCCTGAAGAATCAGATGGTCATAAAGCCATAGGCACCCATGCAAAATCTCCCTAGGAGTTGGAGTAATGCTAGAATGGAAGACCTGAGTAAAGGGCTTCTCTGCCTTCTCAGAGCCAGGAGAATGAGAGACTGGTTGCACTGGTTGTGTTAAATGTATAAAAAGCTATATGTTCATCAGTTTACTCATTTCCAATGTTTCTGCTGTGTAGATGAATAAAATGTAGTGTGCAAATTATTTGAAAATCCCAGAAGGAAGGTACTTTTCAAATACAGTACTCTTTTTTTAAATAAACTTACTTTTTTTTGTTATAAACTTACTATTTTTATAGCACTGTTTTTGCCAAAAGTTGTGAAATCACTTGTGTACATGGGGAAGTGGAGGTTAAATATCTGCCCTGAAGTCATTCCACCTCCGAATCAGCACTGGAAATCTCATCTCTTGCTTTGCCAGACTATTTTAAGAGCTGTCCCTGTTGGAACATAACAACTAGACAGACTCATGTAGCATTAGAATTGGAAAGCCTTTTTAAAGACATCTGGTCCTACTTATACACAATTCCCCCCTACCAACTACCTATGAAGAGCCCTTCTGTCATATGGAGCTCTATCCTGGGATAGTTCTATTTTAGGAACTATTAGATTGTCATATTAAGTCCAAAGCTGCCTCATGTTCCAGATCTGGAGTACTATGCCTTGCCCCTATATCATGTTAGAACTTGAATAGTCCTCTTGGGCCTTCATCTTGATTGGATGGGGACTCAAACCCGGCCCAAGAAAATACAGTGTTAAGTATTACTAAGCTTCCAGTTAGGGTTCACAGCCCCATTGGGCAGATAAGAAGGTGCCTACTCAAGGCCAGGAGTGGTGGCTCACGCACCTGTAATTCCAAGACTTTGGGAGGCCAAGGCAGGCATATCACCTAAGGTCCTGAGTTAAGACTAGCCTCTGGGCCAAGTGCTGCAGCTCAGGTCTGTAATCCCAGCACTTAGGGAGGCTGAGGCAGGTGGATCACCTGAAGTCAGGAGTTCAAGACCAGCCTGACCAACATGGAGAAACCCCGCCTCTACTAAAAATACAAAATTAGCCGGGGTGTGGTGGCGCATGCCTGTAATCACAACTGCTAGGGAAGCTGAGGCAGGAGAATCACCTGAACCCAAGAGGCAGAGGTTGTGATGAGCCAAGATGGCACTACTGTACTCCAACCTGGGCAACAAGAATGAAACTCTGTCTCCAAAAAAAAAAAAATAGATCAGCATGGTGAAACCCCATCTCTACTGAAAATACAAAAAATTAGCCGGGCATGGTGTTGTGTGCCTGTAATCCTAGCTACTTGGGAGGCTGAGGCAGGAGAATCCCTTAAACCCGGGAGGCGGAGGTTGCAGTGAGCCAAGATTGCACCACTGCACTTCATTCAGCCTGGCCAACAGCAAGACTCAAAAAAAAAAAGAAGGTGCCTCCCCATGGGAATACAGTTAGGCAGGAAGATGGTTCCTGTCAATTAGCAAGAAGCACACATTTGTCCTGAGGCACAAAGCATAGCCAGCGGCAGGTGGGCTGGATTTTATCCCCCACTGGTTGATTCAGCCAGGTGTGCTTGTACAGTGATCACTACACAGCCATACTTCCTGGCCCTGTTTTAATTACTTGTCCTGATGTGATTAAGAAAAGGGCTCTCCCGGCCAGGCGCAGTGGCTCACACCTGTAATCCCAGCACTTTGGGAGGCCAAGGTGGCAGATCACCTGACATCAGGGGTTCGAGACTAGCCTGGCCAATATGGTGAAAACCCAACTCTACTAAAAATACAAAATATTAGCCAGGCGTGTAATTCCAGCTGCTCGGGAGGCTGAGGCACAAGAATCACTTGAACCCAGGAGGCAGATGTAGCAGTGAGCCAAGATGGCGCCATTGCACTCCAGCCTGGCCAACAAAAGCAAAACTCTGTCTCAGAAGGAAAAGAAAAGGGTTCACCAACAGGTTTTCTGCTTCCATTTCTACTTTTCACTGGGTTCAAGGTTTCTCCCTCTTCAAGTCATTGTGCAGTCTATTCCGCTCTGTCTTCAAATCATTGTGCGGTTTACTCTCTATTCTCACTATGCTCTACTTCTCTAAAGCACAGGGCCTTGTTGTTGCACATCACCTTTGCCTCACCAATGTTACCACTTCAGCTCTCCACACTTGGCAGCCTGCGCCCATACACCATTCAGGTGATCTGCCCAAGTGTCATCACACAAGGGCTCCAAAAGATGCTGGGACCACCTTCGAGACAGAGTGCAGGGCACACTTCTGATATGTGAAAGTATTTCCACCCTTGCAATCATTTAAGAAACGTCCAGGAGTGCACTCGTAGCCTGTAAGTTTTTGGTGAAGCTGGTCAGTAATTTTCCCCTCACTATCCTGTTGCCTTTTCCCAGATTCCTCCAGGTTTCTCACCTTTTCCTCTTGGCTTATCAACACTGGTCAAGTTAATCCTTACCTACTCTACACTGATACCTACATGTGTCTATTTAGAATGGATGTCCTCTGTTCTCTGCCGCCTTATTTCAAACAAGTGTTGACCAGTCGGGAAACACGTCTTGGACATTGATTTCTGGCTAGTACACTGTGTACTTGTACGCAGGAAAGCAAAAAGTATCTGATGAAAGCGGCCCTCCTCCGGAGTTTGCTGAGCCACAGGAAGCATAAGCGCTTGGATTTCTTAACAAACAGCCAAGGGTTTGTGTCTACTTCTCTGGATCCACCGCAGCCCCGGCCAGAGGCAGGCATGGGGCGACACGTTGAGAGTGTGTCCTAGAGGACTCACCGTTAGCCGGTGCAGGCTGCAAAATGTGCGCGGTGGCGGAGGGACGCTCCTCCAGCCACGTGCACGACGACAATCGCAGGTAGAGCTGGAATGAGGGCTGCCCCGAGGTCCCCACCTGCCGGCGCTTCCCCGGCAGGAACAGGGTAAACGGAACCCCAAGGCGTCTCGGTTTTAGAGCGGTCTTCATGCCACAGCCCTCCGCGCCCAGGTCCTCCGAAGTTGGGACACCGCCCACGTTTCCCCCGTGACGCGGGCGCGGGGGCTCGGGAGTTGTAGTCTCCGGCACGGCGCGGGCGCCGGGGCCCGGGTTACGCGGACTCCACGTCCCGGCGGGCGGCGCGGCGAGGCCTGGGGCCGCCAGGGGCGGGGCCGCTCGGCCCTTTAAACCTTTCAGGGCTGCTCCGAGGGCCGCAGCTGGAGTCGGCGCCACGAGGGGGCCGAGCAGGGCGCGGCGGTGGCTGGGCGCTCCTGGGAGGTGCGTACTGGGCTCCTTCCTTTCCTCCGGGCTTCCAGGAATCACCTGGGGAGTCTCGCGTCCCGGGTCCCCGGGGTCACCGGCCGCAGGCTCCGGCCCAGCCGGGGTCCCCGCACCCAGACAAGCGGGTGCCGGGCCGGGCTTCCCGCGTGAACCCGCCCCTCGCTCAGGGCGCAGATGGTCAGGTGGTTTTGCCTGCGCTTCGCCGCCTCGCCACCGCTCCACTGGGCCCGCACCCAGCCTCTCCTTGGCGTGGCCTCATCGGTTGTCCAGCCCTTCTCCCAGCCCTGGTCCCTCAGAAGGAGGGTAACTCCCTTCCAGATGTTATGATTCGCCCACATCTCTTAGCACGCCGGTGGCATTTGGGTTGACCGCGGAGGGCCCCAATGCCAGTGGGTGCTACGTTCTGGCATGGGGTCAGCCCAAACTTTGGACGCTCCGAGACCCAACAGGAGCGCTGGATAAGGTGTTGACCTCCTTTACCCTCCCCCTTCCTGGCCAGTCACCCACAACTGGACTTTGATCTGCCTCTCTCCACCAGGCCAGGGCAGCTGATGGTTGTGGCAGAAACGTCTCAAGGTAGCTGGTCCGCCCCCACTTCCCCATCTACCTCTTGTCCTCCCCCCCACACCACCACCACCCTGGCTCCCCTCCCTCATGACCGCCTGGATCCTCCTGCCTGTCAGCCTGTCAGCGTTCTCCATCACTGGCATATGGACTGTGTAAGTAAATTGGGGTTCGGGGGTTGAGGGGGGAACAACAGGATCTTGTCACACACAAAGCCCCTTGTCCTGTTGTAGGCTCTAGGGGTATACCCAGGGTCACTCTGGCTTTCTCCAAAGCCTGGCCTGGTGCCTGGGCACACAGCCCCTTGGGACAAGCTGGCACCACTGCTGTCCACCAGGGTGGCCCTGACAAATATACTACTGGCCAGGGCAACTTCCAGAGGGCCTCTAGCTGGGGGCTATCCTGCAGATGCATCTTGAGTCCCTAGCAACAATGAGGCTGAATAGGGCCCAGAAATCAAGGTGGAAGGGTTGTGGGGTAGTTTAAGGGGGGATTTGGGAAGGCTGAGCCAGGAGAGGCATGAGAGCAGGATGACAGTTCTGTTTCCACAGGTATGCCATGGCTGTGATGAACCACCATGTATGCCCGGTGGAGAACTGGTATGAAGCACTGCAGACACCCTCACTCTAAAGCTTCCTTCATCTCTGTCCCCTCTTGGGCCCAGCCAGACTGCTGAGCCTCATTGCTCTTCTCTGAAATTGGTCCCTTGCATGGCTTCATGGCACCTACCCACTTCCCACCATCCTTTTGCCCCTTTGGCTACTGCTTCAGGCAGGCCCTGGGGAGTGGGATCTTTTGTCCCTGCAGGGGAAGTTTGGGAGAGAGTCCCCTATGAGGTCTGAGGCTATAGGCCTAGGGGTAGTCCCTTCCCCCAGTCTACTCCCTGTCCCACCTGCCAGGTCCTACAACGAGTCCTGCTCTCCTGACCCTGCTGAGCAAGGGGGCCCCAAGACCTGCTGCACCCTGGACGATGTCCCCCTCATCAGGTAAGGCCTGGACATTGGGCAGGTTAGGGACACTGGGCAGGTCAGGAAGATCTAAGGTCCTCCCAGACAGCCCCTCAAGCAAAGAGCTGTCCTTGGGTCTCAGGAATAATAAATATCCTAAGGGCCACTTAATAATACTACTACTTGGCAGTTACTATGGGGCAGGCACTCTGCTGAGCGCTTTGTATGCATTGTCTCTTTTCATCCTCCTGGTAGGAGGCAGCTGTTGTCTTCACCATTTTATAGGTGAGGAAACAGGCTCAGTATTACTCATGCAGATCACACAAATAATAAGTGGAGGCACCTGGATTTAAGCTCAAGCCCTCAGATTGCCCAGCCCGTGTTCTAGCTCAAGGATAGCCAGACCAGCTGCAGGGCTCAGCGAAGAGTCTCAGGGTTGCCTGAACACTCCCGGGCACTCCTTTCTCTCTCACACACATGAGCTCTCCTTTGGTGGCTCAGCCTTGGAACCAGTTCTTCATGAGGGACCCTGGCTTTTCACATAAATCAGTGCCTACCTGCTAAGGAGCAGATGCAGGTAAAACTGGGGAGAGCCAGTGAGCCAGAATGGGGGCCCCCCGGGCCTCCCGCCCCTTCTTACTCTATCCTTCCCCCTCCTCGCAGCAAGTGTGGCTCCTATCCCCCAGAAAGCTGCCTCTTCAGCCTCATTGGCAACATGGGTGCTTTCATGGGTGAGTTGTACCCTTAGCCCTGACCCTGCCTGCCCAGCCCAGTGCCTCCCATGCAGAAAGGCCCAGGAAGCCCTTCATGCAGCCCTCCCCACCAAGGGCTAAGGCAACAGAGGCAACTTCTCTCCCCTTCCTTGAAGGTCAAAGGCTGACTTCCACACAGCCACCCTGCTGGCTGGAGCCTGAGGAAACCTAGTTCACCACCCACCTGTCCATTCCTTTTCTGCCTCTCAGATGGGGCAGGAGCATCAGAGAGCGGTGGGGAGAGGGAAGCTGACAGGCTCGTTGGGCGGGGCCAGGACTGGAGGAACGCCCCAACCTTGCTCTCCTCCCCCAGTGGCCCTAATCTGCCTCCTGCGCTACGGGCAGCTCCTGGAGCAGAGTCGGCACTCTTGGGTTAACACCACGGCGCTCATCACTGGCTGCACCAATGCCGCAGGCCTCTTGGTGGTCGGCAATTTTCAGGTGCTTCCCCTTCTCCCCCGAAAACCTTGAACTTTACCTAACAAGGCCTGGCTGCCGACAGGGGGTGGCACCTCAAGGTTGGGGCTGGAAGGAGGGAATGAGAAAGGAGGGGGAGAAATGTAGAGGGAGAAGATCCATTGAAGGAGGGGTGGAGGGGTTTGGCTGCAGCCACATCACTGACTGACCCTTCTCTGAGCCCAGGTGGATCATGCCAGGTCTCTGCACTACATTGGAGCTGGTGTGGCCTTCCCTGCGGGGTTGCTCTTTGTCTGCCTGCACTGTGTTCTCTCCTACCAAGGGGCCACTGCCCCCCTGGACCTGGCTGTGGCCTATCTTCGAAGTGTGCTGGCTGTCATCGCCTTCATCACCCTGGTCCTCAGTATCCTTCTATGATGGGGCAGCCAGAACTCATCCTCTAGCTCAACCTTTCTCCCTCCCAAGAGGATGAGGGGGTGGAGGCCTAAATCTGCCATGCGGTCTGCTCCCTTTGGGGAGGTGAGGCCTGGGACTGCAGAAGGGTTATTGCCAGGTTTCCATATGTCCTACTGAACATTTCCTTAGCCCCATTTCAGGTGGAGTCTTCTTTGTCCATGAGAATTCTCAGCTGCAACATGGGGCAGCCCTGTGTGAGTGGGTGTGTGTCATCGATATCCTCATTTTCTATGGCACCTTCAGTTACGAGTTTGGGGCAGTCTCCTCAGACACACTGGTGGCTGCACTGCAACCTACCCCCGGCCGGGCCTGCAAGTCCTCCGGGAGCAGCACCTCCACCCACCTCAACTGTGCCCCTGAGAGCATCGCTATGATCTAAGGTCTGGGGAGGGTGGCTGGCCCGGCCTCCACAGCACCCCACCCTTTATCTTCTTTGCATTTATTTTGTACCAAAAACAATTTTGAGAAAGTATTCTGTTGGGATCTGGGCTTCCTCACTTCTGGAGAAATGGCCATCCCACGTCCACCTGTGCCATAGAGGAGTGGGCCCTGCCAGCTGCCACAGCTGCATGACCTGCTTCCCCACCCCATGGTGTCGTTTTGTTTTTAAAGGTCACCTGTCCTCACTCACCCAGCCAGCCCTTCAGGTGCCTTCTACTCCCAGTGCCAGAGCCAGACCACTGGGGTTTCCTGCTGCAGGAATTGGGGGCTGGGAACAGCAGTGGGGATAGAAGTCTGGTGGAGGTGGAGCGGGTACGCCTTAGCCTATGGAAAGGCCCATTTCTGGGCCCATTGAGCTGCACTGGGATTCTTCACTCTGCCCCTCACTTCCTTTAGGGCAAATAACACAGCAGAACCACGTGGGTATTTTAGTACTTTTTTTTATATTAAAAGAATTCTAATTTGCATGTTTGTAGTCTGTTCTGGAGAGTCGGGAAAGGGGGGGACCTGATCTGGGATGACTTTCCATAAGCCAAGGATGAGAGAAAGCCCTTGCCCCGCAGGAGAGTGCTGAGCACACTTTGCTGCCAGAAACAAAGGATGGCAGGTACCATTCAAATACCCGTTGAAGGGCTTGAAACCATTCTGGGCCTCTAAACAATCTAAAGAACTGACTTGATCTAATAATCTCACCCATCCCCCACTCAGAGTCTGGTTTGAACTTTGATTCCTCAGTAAGAGGCATGGGGTGGAAGGTGGGGGTAGTACAGAGAGCAACTTTAAAATATTAAAAGCAGCTTTCTCAATGGAGAAAAAGAAAACCTCTGGGATTTCAAAGTGAACTAGAAATTGCAATGGGAGGAGGCTGCAGGCTAGTTTATCAGCTTTAAGTAATTAACTGGGTGCCAGACCCTGACACATTCTGCCTTCCAAACATGAACACATAGGCCGGAGCCCTGGCTGGTGCAGTAATCCACTGCCATGAGTCTAGATGGGCCAGCAGGGAGGGAAACCACAGCCTGCTTCTGCGGTTTAGGACCACCTTCCCCAATAGCAGTAGAGACCTGAAGGAGGATGCAGAGCCCCTGACCAGGTCTGTGATCAGTACAGCCTCAGGGTGAGTACAGAAACCTTTAATGAGGATTCAAGGTTTTAAGGAAGATGCAGAGGGCCGGCGCTCAGCCCCAGCCTCCTCACGTGTACATGGCTCCATGGAGGTTCTCCAGTCGGTGCTGCTGCTGCTGTTTTCGAGCCTGAAGGAAAGAGGGCACACTGGGCAGGGGCCAAAACTGAAGGCCTGTGGGTGAGGGGATGGGCAACTATCATGGGGCTGGCTCTGTTTTCAGGCCTCTGGCATCTGCATTGCTGAGGCTCTTACCACAAACCAAAGTCACTAAGAAGCCAGCCAGAGTCAGGCCTGCTGAGGCCTAGTCCAGTCCTGCTGAGGTGGAAAATGATGGCAGCAAGGACAGGACTGAGGGAGCCTAGTAAGACCCCTCCACTTAACCATCAGCCCCTACCTTATCTCGTCTGTGCTCTTCATAGGTGTCATCATCAGTGGGCAGCTCATGGCGGCACAAGGGACAGGAATTTGTCTGAGAAAAATAGAGTAGTGTCTAGCCTTTGTCTGATCTTCATAAGCTGATAACCACCCTCCCCTGCTCCCAAGTGCCACCCTTCTTTGATCCCCCAACAGTCCATGAACAGAAAGAAGCTTGAGTACTGGGCCCAGAGCAGAGTGACAGCTGGAAGAAGAGAAGCAGTACCTTGCTTAGCCAGGGCAGAATGCAGCTGGAATGGAAAAGGTGATGGCAAGGCATCTCAATGGCAGTCTCCTCCTCCTCAAATTCCAAAAGACACACGGGGCACTTGAGCTCTTTGGGAAGGAGTGCTGATCAGGAGAGATGCTACAGTCCCTGCCTCCCAAGCTCCCACTCCTGAAGGACACTTGCCCCACCTGGCCTGGAAAACTTAAGTACCAGACCACAGTCTGACTTGGGGAAGGGGTGGGTCTGGCCCAAATAGCAGAAAATATTAGTGTCCTTACCAGCCTGAGAGCCTCTGATGACCGTCCTGGGGAGGTTCTCAACCACAGTCTTGGCAGCTGGTGGAGGCAGGTGGTGGTCCCAATCTACTACCAACCCCAAGTCTTCAAAGTCCATCCTATTGAAAAGTGACCTGGGGAAGAGGAGGTAAAGTCAGAACAAAGGAAAACTATGCTTTCTCTTTGCCACAGTAATCCACTGGACAGTAACCGATAAACACCCTGCCCAGCTAGTAGGAATAAGAGCTACCGTTAGTAGTTAGTAGATGCTCACTAGATAAAAAGCACGATGGGAAATAGTTTATACAGCTGCTACCAGACCGCCGCAGCACGTAAAGTTTTTATTTCCATTTTACACATGAGGCAACAGGCTCAGAGAAGTTACTCAGGCCACGCAGAATAACCTTGTGGAGCCAGATTCCAAGTCCGCAGTGCCTGCTGTTCCGGATGAATATACCCACTCACAGCACATGGCCCCAACCCCGCCCCCATGCCTCACCTTCTCCGGGACCCCCCAGAGCCTGCTGTCCTTCCACCCCCAAGTCCACCACACTCCAGCTCGTCTTTCCCTCAATTCCCTTGCCCAGGCCCGCCCAACGGACGGCGCAAATTATCGAGATGCTCATTCCCACACCCCTCAATCTCACCGCCCGGACTAACACTGCAGATTACTCATCCGTCCTCCCCAGAATCAGCTGCCCCTGGTAATCCGCCTTCTTCAGCCAGCCCCAGCCCAGAAACCTGCTAACTGGACTCCATCCCCAAGCCCCCCGCACCCACCTTGCGAGCTCCAGCAGCATGTTGGTTCGAGTCTCCTGCTCGGGGTCTAACGGCTCACAGTCGTGTTCGTCGAAATAGGACGCCATGGCTGCCCAGCCGTCTGACACAGCTCTCGGACCCGGCTCGATCGCGGCCTAGCGGCGCTGGCCAATAAACTGACGAGCTGAGAGAGGCTGGCCAATCAGAGTATCCGAGGGATGGGCATAGTGGCTCGTTAATGCGCACGGAAAGCGGAAGTACTAATTCAGCCGCCTCTCATTGGCTTAAATAGATCAGGTGACCAGAGACTAAGGCTAATGACAGAGATCCGGGCTGGTGAGGAAATTTTTGTTTTGGAATCGGAGCCAAGACTGAATTCCCGGGAATTTCCGGCGTGGTCGCATCCAAATGTCTGGTCTGTAAGGGTCGTCAGTCTGCCCTGAGGCTCAGATGGCTTTAACAGTGCAGATGCTAGAGACCTCTCAGAGAGAAGGCAGCGCTGGCCCAGGGGTTCAGGTTCCTGCGGGCGTTGGGCCAGGGCACTTCTCGATGCGCTGTCCCGGTCCCCACCGGATGATTCTGCCCCGCGGCGCTCTAGCTGGTTCAGGAGTTTGCGTTTGATTCCAACCCAACCCCCGAAAAAAAAAATTCCTGCGCGTTTTTTATGTGTTAGGCGTAATAATAAAGGGTGGGGCAAGCCTCCCCAACCGAGAGCGAGAGGCCCCTCTGCCGGAGAGCTCGGGCCTCAACCAGCTCACGGGATTGTTAACTTCAGTCCGTTGCTGTCCCTAGCTTCTGTAAAACTAGTGGCTTGTACTAACACCTTTTCATTCCTGCCTACACATGAATCCCCTGAGGAAAGAATGGGTGCGGAGGATACCTACGAAGATTCCTATTTAACTGATCTGTGGTGGGGCCTGGGCAACGACATTTGTATAAATTCTACAGGTGAAGCAGGTTTAAGAACCACTGCACTGAACGATTTGGATGATAGGTACTATTTAGCATTTAGAACTGTTAGACTGACGAATGTTTTACACACCGATCATCCCCTCAGTAGTCGCAGGAGCTAAGCATCATTATGCCCTTTTTACCTCAGAAGTGGCTTGCCCAAATTTGCAGTCTTTAAGTGGTGCTGCAGACCAACTGCAGGGCCAAGTGCTTTCCTCCATCTTTCCCAACAGAGGTGACTCACGCCTGTAATCCCGGCACTTTGTGAGGTCAGGATTTCGAGACCAGCCTAGCCAACACAGTGAAACCCCGTCTCTACTAAAAATACAAAAAAAAAAAAAAAAAAAAAAAAAAGCCAGGTGTGGTGGCGGCGCCTGTAATCCCAGTTCCTGGAGAGGCTGAGGCAGGAGAATCGCTAGAACCTGGGAGGCAGAGGTTGCAGTGAGCCAAGATCGCACCATTGCGCTCCAGCTTGGGAGACAGAGCGAGACTCCGTCTCAAAAAAAGAAAAAGAAAAAAAAAAAGAGGAAGATGGTAATGAGCTCAGTGGAACTAACTCCCTCTGTAAAGGGTAAGCTCCACACAATTCACACTTATTCTGGTTTCTGTCAGTAGCCCTCACTCCTCTACCCAGCAAGGAACTGCTTATTTTACACACTTTACCCTGAATTCCCCTTGCCACTCACACTTGAGTTTGAGCTGCAGTTAAGTAGCCCAGGCAGAGACTGCCCTGTTTCCAGTGTTGGTGTGCTTTCTTTCCTTCTTCCACACCTTTGCCCAGTGATCTTTGCTGTGGCCCTAAAGGCACTGCCTGCCTGGCCCTGAATGGCCCTGTAGCGTTGAAAAGCCTGAATTCAGGCTGGACATATGGCTCACGCCTGTAATCCCAGTGCTAAAGGCAGGAGAACTGCTTGAGCTCAGGAATTTGAGACCAGCTTAGAGGACTTAAAGAGACCCCCTAGAAAGAGGAAGGGAGGAAAAGAGGGAGGGAAGGAGGGAGGGAGATGGGAATATCAAGAAGCGCTTTAAGATCCCCATCTCTTGGTGTCACGTCCCCATCTGCAATCTAATGTAAAGCTTGAGGTAGAATGTGGAAAGAGAAATTGAGGAGTGGGAAGCGTTCAAAGGGGAAACCATTTATCTGAAGGTGAAAGCCTTATGAAAAAATTTTTGGGCCAGGTGCAGTGGCTCACACCTGTAATCCTAGCACTTTGGGAGGCTGATGCAGGTGGGTTACCTGAGGTCAAGAGTTCAAGACCAGCTTGCCCAACATTGTGAAACCTTGTCTCTACTAAAAATACAAAAATTAGCTGGGCATGGTAGTGGATACTTGTAATGCCAGCTACTCAGGAGGCCGAGGCAGGAGAATCGCTTGAACCCAGGAGGTGGAGGTTGCAGTGAGCCAAGATCATGCCCTTGCACTCCAGCCTGGGGAACACAGCAAAAACTCTGTCTCAAAAACAAAATTTTTATTTTTATTTTTATTTTTTTATAGAGACGAGGTTTCACCACGTTGGCCAGGCTGGTCTCGGAACTCCTGACCTCAGGTGATCCACCCATCTCGGCCTCCCAAAGTGCTGGGATTACAGATGTGAGCCACCACACCCAGCCACAAAAAAAATTTTTTTAAGTGCTTTCTTCTTTGTCATCAACTACAGTCTCACTGGTCTTCTAAGCATCCCCAAGATGACAGAAACATAATAGATTTCATTCTCAGAGAAACAGGCTCTGAGATAGGGAGGACTGGTTCCAGGGTCTGGTTTGAGGGGCATTGTGTTCTTGCACCGACACTCCCTGTCTGTGTAGTGTTGGATCAAGTAGGGAAAGGAGAGGAAGGAACCATCTCCCAGGGGTGGAGTTCTTTTGGGTGATGGGCTTTCTAAGCAGCCTTAGGGGTCTCAACCCTAGGACATGGGACTAACCAACCTGGAACATGGGACTAACCAACCTGGGGACCTTCACACACATATACCAGCTTTTAATCAAACAGCAGCTTTTACTAAGCTCCAGGTAGGGCTGGCCCGGCATGGCCAGTACAGCAGGTTGCCCTCGAGGGCCAGTCTGTGGCGTGATAGGAAATGCAGGGGTGCACATGTTGGGGCTGCCCTTTGGTACTCACTGGGGTGGGTCAGGGGAGAGCAAACATCAAGGTTCTCTGGAGACCAGAACCAGCCAGTGCAGCCATTTGGCTTCTCCCTCAGGACCAGCTGGGTCAGTCCCCAGGCCCTGAGGCAGTGCCTGCATCCTGGGTCCGTGGGGCACTACTGCTGTCACTGCTGAGGGAGAAAGACCGCCAACAGCACAATCAGGATGATGAGCAGGCCACCGCCCACTAGCCCCAAGAAGATCCGGAAACGGATGTTCTCCCAGCGCTTCTTCTGGGCCAGGGTCTTTGTAGTCTTGCTGAAGGCTGAACTCTGCAGACACCCCCAGACACAGAGTGGGAATTAGCTGGCACTCCCTCGGCCTGGAAGGCAGCTCCTCCCAACCCCATCTCAGTAAGGCTTAGTCTCCTCCCTTTCTATACCAGCAGAACCCTCCCAGCCTGTCCTCATTGCAAACATAAGTGTGGCCCTTGACTTTCAGCTGTAGCGGCTCACCCTCAGTTAACAATGCCAGTCCTCAGGCTGGGCACAGTGGCTCATGCCTGTAATCCCAGCACTTTGGGAGGCTGAGGTGGGAGGGCTGCTTGTGGTCTAGGAGTTCAAGACCAGCCTGGGCAACATAGTGAGAATTCATCTCTACAAAAAATCAAAAATTAGCCAGGCATGGTGGTGCGTGCTTGCAGTCTCAGCTCCTCAGGAGGCTGAGGCAGGAGGATCACTTGAACCTTGGAGGTAGAGGCTACAGCAAATTGTGATCATGCCACTGTACTAGCCTGGGCAACAGAGTGAGACCCTGTCTCAAAGAAAACAAAAAACAATGCCAGTCTTCTACCTTTAGGAAGGTCCATAGCTTCAAACCAAGGCCTTCTTATTTTGTGGGGTCTACCTGTTGCATATCTAGACTATGGGTGCTTGAGGAAACCCAGAGGCCCCACACTGGCCCCCATGAAGGCCTCAACCCCACCAAGGACCTGTAGGTCCTGCATACAGCCCAAGAGAGCTTTTGCCAAGCTTCTCCCCGCCCCTCCATGCTGCCCCAGGCCTCACACCATATCCAGGAGTTGGTCTGAGCGCTGCTCCAGTTCGGCCAGCTTCCCATCACGCTCCAGGACCTTGTCGAAGTTGTTAAGCATGATTTCCGTCACCTCGTTCGCCTGCCGCTGGCATCGCTCCAACTCTTTCCCTGCCTGGGCACCAAGCCCGAGGTCAGGGCTGCATGAGGCCCCCACCTGGCCCTCATCTGGCCCTGAGATCTAGAAGCCTCTTTCTCCCTCTGTAGGTGGGCATGGCATGAGAGTAACAGCATCCTTCATGTAAGGGTATGATGTGTGCAGAGTGAAGGGCAGCACTCCTTTGGTCTCACAAGCTCCTCCCCTTGCACATCAAGGCAGGGCCTAGGACCTAGGTCAGCCCTGGCTTCTAGCACCTCAACTTCCTCTAACCTCTCCCAAAGTGGGATCTTCCCAGGACCCCATCCTCCCACAAAGCAGATTCTTTTCTTACCTGCTCCAGAATGGCCTCTACCCAATCAATGCACACCTGCCCTAAGGTTTCCCACTGACCTAAGAAGGCAGCAAAGAATGGGTAACCAAGCTACTTGGCTAGAACACACAGGGAGGAGACCTACCCTCCAGGGCTAGAAAGGTAAATTTGAAGTAGCACACATCATTGTCTCTGCCTAACCACTCTATCCCAAACTGAGAAGCTCAGATCTCCCTCCTTGGGCCTCTGACTGGTCAGGCCAGTTCTGCCTCTTCCCCTGATCCTGCTCCCTAGATCACTGCCCCAACTTCCTTCTCTGCCTGGGAACCTCAGTGGTACCGGCCTCTGGCCAGCCTTCCGGTCAGCCAAGATCCTCACTGGGGTCCAACTCACAGAGATGAGACCAACTCTTGGATTTCCCAGCCTGGGCAGCAGCCTTGCCTAACAGAAAACACCAGCTCATTTCAGAGGACTGGGAAGGGATGTGTTGGATCCAAGCTGGGGAAGGTTGAAAGGACAGAGGAGAGAGAAAGTCTGGGTCATGCGCAAGAAAGGCATTGGGCTTTGGGTGCATGTAACAGAGAGACATCCCAGGCATGAGGCCCTGGTATAAGCT